CTCATAGTCAGCACCTTCTCACTGTGTCTTCACGTAGCAGAAGGAGTGAGGGTCTCTCTGGGGCCTCCTTTATAAGGCCACTAATCCCGTGAAGTTCTGCCCTCATGACCTAATCACCTCCTAAAAAGGCCCCACCTTTTAATATTATCCCATTGGCGATTAAATTTCAACATATGAATTTTGGGGGATACATTCAGACCATAGCACCAAGTAAAATAAGTGATCCAAGGAGGAAGGAGTGATCAACTAAGTCAAATACTCCTGATAAGTCAAATAAAATGAGGACTGAGAATTGACTATTCGATTTTGCACCATGGAGATCATTGTTTACCTTGAGAAGAGCAGGTGATATGATGCAGTGGGGGACCAAAGCCTGAATAGAACAGGTTTCAGAAAGAATGGATACACAAATGCTTATGGTAGCATTATTCATAATAGCAGAGAAGTACAAACAACCCATGTGTCCACCAAGTGATAAATGGACAAACAAAATGTATCCATACAATGGGATATTATCCATCCGTAAAAAGAAATGAAGTTGTGATACATGCTACAACATGGATGAACCTCAAAAACAGTGTGCAAAGTGAAAGAAGCCAGACGCAAAAGGTCAAATATCATATGATTCCATTTATGTGAAGTGTCCAGAAAAGACAAATCCGTAAAGACAGAAAGTAGATTAGTAGCTGCCAACAGCCGTGGAGAGGAGTGAATGGGGAGTGGCCGTTAATGAGTTTGGAGTTTATTTTGGGGATGATGGAAATGTTGTAGAAGTGGTGGTGATGGTTGTACAACATTGTAAACATATGGAAAGTCACTGGATTGTACACTTTGAAGTGGTGAATTATACAGTATACCAATTATATATCAATAGTAATAATAATGCCACTGGAGGAGACACATTGGAGACAGTGAGTAAATAACTCTTTTGAGGAGCTTTGCTGTAAAGAGGAGCAGAGAAATTGGAGCTGGAGGGGAAATGGAGTAACCAGAAGGAATTTCTTTTTTTTCCCTTTTTGTCTTTTTTCGTGTCCGGCAACGGATCGCAACCCTCAGTGTCGCGCCCGTACCGGACCGGGACCGGCAACGGGATCGCAGCCCTCGGTGTTGCTCCCGCCCCTCGCTCAGCCAGTGAGCGGCCGGTCTGTATGTGGGATCCGAACCCTCGGTGGGAGCGCCGTGAAGAAATTTTTTTAAATGAGAAAAATAATGGTATATTTGTGTAGTGATGAAAATGATCTAATACAGAGGAAGAAATTGATGATGCCAGATAGAGAATTTTGTTGTCAGATCAGTTTTTGTTCCTGTTTTCCACTGGCAGCACATTGATGCAGACACTGTGTGGTAAGCAGGCCTCTCACTGTGAGTGGAACTCAGGCCTGTTACCAGGACTTGGAGGCAGTGAGTGAAAAGGTATCAACTAACATCATTGTTGAATAACCAATCTTGAACCACTAAGAGATGAGAAACACAGGCATCCACATGGGGGTAATCATAGAATTTTATGGCCGCAAAGAAACATTAGAAGTTATTTTACAGATGAGGAAACTGAGACCCAGAATAGAGAAGTAACTTGCCCATTCACTTAGCTAGTTGGCTGATCTAGATAGGGTCTTCAAGCTTCTAGTCCAGTGCTCTTTCCACTACTACCACACTGTCTTCAGGAAAAAGGAAGAGCATTTGGGATGAGATGAGTAACCGTGCAAAGTCTAGAGAGCTACAAGATTTCCCCTCCAGTAGCAGGAAAGAGGAATATGGTAGCACCATAAGATAAAAGGGGAGGCTCAACAATTATTTGTTCCTTCTCCCACCTTAACACCAGCCAGAATTATGCTGAAACTCTCTTGGCTAAATAGTATCTGTTGAGAGGAGAAGGTACCTTTTCCTCCTGAAACAATCCCTTCTGGTGTTGAGCAGTAGTCCCTAACAAAACACAGCCCCTGTCCCTTCTTGTCTGTACGTATAGGAATGAGCAACTTCCCAACCTTTATAATCCGACTAATTCTTCCTACAGTCTTCTCTGTGCAAAATATGACATCTTTTACTTTTATCCTCCAACACTTTAGCCAGTTCTGAGCATTCCTTCAAGTTTTTCCTTGTCCTTCTGAAGTTGGGGAATCTGACCTACTATTCTAGTCAGGATCAGAGCAGTGCTAGAAGGTCGGTAGAAGGTTGCTGTGCCACTGAAAGCAGGCGCCCCTAAAAAAACTTGAGTAGTTCTCTGAAGTGAGAGAGAGGCTTCTTTCTTTGGCCAAAGGGGACAAATTGTTTGCCAAGGTGGAAATAAAAATTCTGTTCTGAAATGAGAGTGAGAGAGAGAGAAACAGAATCAAAATTTGGCAGGATGGAGAACTGCTATGTAGAGGTGGCCAAGCCAGTAATCCATTCAACTTTCAATTATCTGCAACTATCAAGAGGAGAAATGGCACAGATGACCTTGAACAGTGGATAATCCAAATAGGATTTTAAATTGCATGCTGTGCAGTGGTATTGTGTGGGCTTTTATTGTGTAGTGTGATGTTGTTTAAATAGTTCATTGATTTTCATAATTCTGTTTGACTTGGCCCAGGATCAAAATTGCACACCCCAAGTATTAGTACTTAGTGCTTCATTGCCCATAAGTGTCCTGAGTGTCAGGGGGAAAAGCTGACCACAGAGAAATGGCTAACAAGGAGGTTATTGTCAAGGCAGGAATACTGGCAGAACAGCCTAAGGGGCCAGTGGGCTCCTAATTGTAATGACCCTGCCACAGTGAGATGCAAATGAGGGGCCCAGCAATTCACAGTAGGCAAGCCTTTCCCCACAAGGCTGCCTGAGTAGCCAGGATGCCCTTGCTTGTTTCCCAGGCATTTCCCTGGTGAAGGCTTCTGCTATACTGAACTGAAAATGTCCCATTCTAAGGCCAAAGCATCAGTTGTGTCACCGCTACCAGTCCAGGCTGAGTTGACAGTTCCTCAGACACTTTGCCCTTTGTGGGTAGCTCTCCTCCCACTGGAAGAAGACTACATTTATGTGATCTCTTGACCCTTCGTTTTCTGCATTCTCTCTGTTTCTGTGCTTTGTTAGCACATCCCCTCCCTCCACAAAAAATAAAAATAAAACCTTCACCCACTGACAAATTGGAAAAGCCTTCATAATATCTCTGGGTACCGTGTAGCCTGTTTTACAAATGCTCAGTTTTATCAAGGATAGCCAACAAGGAATTATCATTCTTCTCTGATAAGATTAGCAAGAGGGAAGGGGCAAGCTATACAAGCCTTGTCTCTGGGTGAGATATTTGCCTGGGGATGAGATGCGATTCCCATGCAGAAATGCTTATGTAACAAATGGTCAGTCCAAACACATAAAATGTTTCCAATGCCTTCCAGAATCCAGAGTAGGAAGGGAACTAAGGCACCTTATGGCCCAGCCCCCTGCCTCTAGGCAGGCAAATATTTCAATTAAACATGAATGTAGAATATAGAATTGTCAACTGTTTCTTCAGGTCTTCAGAGGTAGAGACCTGACATTTCTGCTCAGTCACCTCTCCTTGTGCTTGATGCCCTCGATAAAGATGAGAACAAGGCAAATAGAATTGTTGGAGGTAATGCTGGGAAGAACTGAAATAAAAGCAGGGAGAGGGCTGGCCCCATGGCCCACTCAGGAGAGTGCAGCACTGGGAGCGCAGAGACCGCGGGTTCAGATCCTATATAGGGATGGCCGGTGTGCTCACTGGCTGAGTGTGGTGCAGACGACACCAAGCCAAGGGTTGAGATCCCCTTACCAGTCACAAAAAAAAAAAAAAAAA